AATAAAACTGTTACTTCCATAGCATATCTTAAAAGAGTTTTTTTACGTCATGTTCCTTCTTGTTTACAGAGTACACGAAAATTTATATGTTCCAACAGGAACTTTTTAGTTTAAAACGTTTGTTGTAGTTTTACGTAATTTGCATTCAATTATATTTAAATAGTAACAGCACTTAGATAAATCAATATATATAAATTTAGTCTTCCAAATATCGATATTTTGGGTTTCTCCATATCGATATTATCGAAAGCCAATAGCAACTTACTTCTTATTATATACATATAGTAGAGAAATTATCTGAAGAGTTCTTTTCTTAGCTTTACTAATTACGCCATGAAGTTTCTATTATGTTTCCAATATATAATGCTGATTGCAGATGAAGCCTATTGTAACTTTTTATGAATACTAACGTTTTTTTTTTGAAATTGGTGGAACGTAGTTTTTCATGCCTAATCAATCAGATGGTCCGACAAGGTGTTCTGTGATCAAGGTTATGGTTAAATCCCTATGGTTTAAGTTAGGCTGAAATCACTTGCTTTTAAACGTGCGTGATGAATTCTTTAAATGTTCATCATCACGGCCTATCAATGTACCCATTGCTGGGGCATAGGCCTTCCCGATGGGTGGAATAGGGAAATGAGCAGGGACATACCACGCGAGCGCAGTGCGGATTCGTGGATGCTAACGGCTGTAGATGCATCCGGGACAAACGGCTGAACGTGTCTTTAGAAGCACGGAAGCGCTCCGGACATTAAATTTTTGGTTCCCTATCCAATGGTATCGACCATTGCGGAAGTTGCTTAATTTCCACGATCACAGACCGAACGCGCTAACCACCTGCGCCATCGCGCTCCTCAATGAATTCTTGCGCCTAACAAATTGAGTACGACAGATTATTCAAAATCTATGTCAGTTGGACAGCGGAAAACGCTCAATTAAAATGTACAAGTAAACTATGCATGTTGATATCGGCAATTGGTCATACATCATTGACCCTGAACTCAATATTGTGTGGTGGATGTTTCTTTGTCGAAACAGAACCGCGTCTCCGGTTACTTGAACTATTTGACTATGTCATGCCTTTTGTCATATTGCAAGGAAACAGTTATAATAATAAGAAAACCATGACAAACAGAATCTTAACCAAGCTTTTTACTACGGATTTTAGCTTTAGACCGTGGATTGAAGAGGATATTAAATATTATTTACTTTTAATAATTATTTTTTAATTGAGATCTTCGGATTATATAGACTTTCTTTATTCTTCTGCTGTCTGTCTCTTCATCTTGATTAATTCTCCCTTCGCACGCTGGTGCGAAATAATACTGATTATGTTCTTTTCTACCTTTCATAAAATTATGTGTCCCAAATCCGTTTTAAATTCTAAGTTTGTCCCGAACTCCTAACAAATTTAAAATGCAGTCAACAAAAATAAAGAAAATATTTTATTTCGTTTTCCAAGACACGTTAAGTACACATTTAATTTAAAAAACTATAATTTTTGTATTTAATGTTTTTGTAGAATATTAGCCATATGAGTTCGTCTCTACGAACGGATTAATGATGCTGTGGGCCATTTCACTTTTCTCGTAGACTGCATTGCAATGTAATTCGCAGGATGCTTGGTAAGAAAGGAGTACGCCGGCATGATAACTTTAAAATGCCGATGGTTTCACTTTAGATAAGCTACCCGTATTTCTAGTGGTGTCCTCGATGGTTCCTTTTGATTGTATGTTGTTTATTAAAATTTCTTGAATAAATCGAATATTTCGTTTTCCAATGAAATTTAAGTATAGTATTTATTCTACGATCAAGACCGATTTCATAATGACTCAAAACATTGCTTGATGATGTTGAGATTCATTGTTCATGTTACTATAATCCTCTTTCTAGCCAAAGACAATTTGTATGTTTATAAATCCAAGGTTCCTCCTACTGTACTTCACGTTTTACGAGTCTGCTAGCGACTGTTTGTGTGTGTTTTTTTTATAAATAAATAAAATACAACAAATGGTTCCGACTACTACTGACCCTAAGAGCCCCTATCTCCTAATTACTGCAATCTCGTTTAAAGATAAGCTGTTCTTCCAAGCTGTGGCCAATTATCCTTACTTAGCATTTCCTCCTACATAATCATAATAGCCTAAAATTTTATTCTTTTTACTAGGTTTAGGAACTCTTGTGTATCATCAAAATAGCAAACCAACTTTAATCACTCGGAATAACCATTAATCAAGTCCAAAGAGCCGGTTAAAATTATGTTACTCATTAGAGATGTACCTAGTTGACGTGGCAAATAACTGATATAGAATAGACAAATAGATACTGAATTGATTTATATGTGAACGATTGCTAATATAGAGGTAGATAGAAATTAATGAGTCGTTCTGAGTTTTGACGGACTGATATGACGCTGGACCTGAGCGATAAAACGTAAGCAAAGATCTACCAATAGCATAAATAACAACGAATGAGAAATAATATGGAATACGAACTGCGCTAAAAAGTGGCTCACCGCAAACTGCGATCAAGAGGGCGGGGCTAAAAAACTGCGATCAACACACCGATCATGGGATTGGTGGGGATTTTTGTTTAACATTATCTTACCAAATGAATAGATAGCTGAATTTATTGCAGATATTTGAATTGTCAAAGTATTTAGAATTTTGTTTTGTCTTCTAACCATGTTTTAACGGCCTTTGTTAGAGAGTAATGCTTGCATATCTTTCTAATTCGTTGATAGAAAAAGGATATTTGAATACAAAGTATGTTATAGGCGGTATTGTTATGATTAAAGGTAGTTTAATTTATGGTCAGCATCGCAGACAATGGCTAGCAACTTTTTACGTAAACAACAAATAGTACCTACAAAAGAACAGTTAAGGCAAAGGTATGGAAGTTTATCATTTTGATTTATGTATACAGTTTGGTAAATCACCATAAATATTTTTTTATATGTATAAATGTATGTCACATTATATCCCACTCTCGATGCCCTAGCAACCATATTTATTATTGATTTTCAGCCCATGTAGTGATCGGTTAATAGCACTTCCCCACCTTTATTGTGGTATGATTTGTAACTGACATCGTTATGCAGATTGCCTTGACATATGAACTGTCAAGCAATTTTGTTAGGCCACCTAATTCGTTTATTACTGCTGCACTTATGTCGATATAATGATCATGACGATATTGTGCAAACCCTGATAACTGACGGTCTGACGACTACACCACCTTTTCTAATGCAATTGTAATCGGTAGTCAAGAATAACCTCTTGATTTGTTCACAATAAAATTTACATATTTTATAGCAAAACGTCTCTTATTTCAATGATATTACTAAGTTAGCAGGTTTCTGGTTAAAACCAGGATAAATCCTACTATCTACTACGCTAAAACTAAGGAACGGATTTGTATCAAATTTGATACGCATATAGCTTATGATTTAGATTGCGACATAGATACTTTTTACCTCGGATTTTTTTTAAGTTCCTGTGATTGGGGTTCTCAGAAAAACAAAGGTAACGCGCATGAAATCGCGGGCGGCCGCTAGTATGTATATATCAAACAAGTTTAAAATGATTCTCTCCCTAAATTACTAACAGCTTCTAATGAATAACCAAGAAGCATGAATGTAGTTTAACGTTTTTTGAAACCATGTTCTCTTTTGTTTCTTGAAATGCATACACGTTCATTATGAACCAGTGCAGGTGCTCCTAATCTCGTATCGTACATAACAATTTAGATGCAAGCATTGTTGTCAACACCACGTAACTGCTCCCCAACAATGGGGGGCGTGTTGCTCAACATAGTCATTTAGTCATCGGCTGTTGCTCGCGGCGTGCCTGTAATTAGGCTACTTAATGCTCTTACATGCACTTATTGCGAAATAAACTCGTTAACATGAAAGCTGAATACCTGCCGAGTATTTAAAAATACCTGGCTAGTTTATTCTATCCATCGGACGTCCGTGTTATTGCAAAACACTGACATATCTGAATTTATCTCTAAAAGCATTCTGTCTTAATTACTTAACAGCATAAACACACGTGGTTTATAAGTACTATATTTGGCTTTGTCTATATTGCAAAGACTATTGATTTGTTTATACTTTGGTCAGGTTTCTTTAAAGTTTTAAGTTCATATAAGGTTGTTTTTTTTAATCGACCTCATTATAATTTCCAAACCTTCTAGTGTTTGTTTGTGTATTTCCAATCTTTATTTTTGCCCTTACTTCATAAAATTACAGCTACTTCTGTAAACACTATTCAGTCGGTATACCGGCTTTCTTCGTGCTGAGGAAATCCGGTTGTAAAACACGAGTTAGTGTCGCGTTTGGTACGTACGGTATCGTTAGCAATATCCATATTGGTGCAAGTGCGTGCATCACTATGTCAATTAAAACAAACTACCGGACTGCTAGCTATAATCTTATTATTTCCAGTAGAAACTTCAGAATGATTTGATTCGATTGTCTTTATTGTAATAAATCTGTGAAAAGTTAAATAATTAAATTTGGCTTATGAAATCTTGGAGCCTTAAATCGTATGGAATTTGAGGAGTGCTCACGTTAACTAGATGCGTTTTTAAGTTCCACCGTTCTTGCTGTTACGTTAATTTGGCTAGCAACACCTTTTATGGAACCGCATGAGTGTCCAACTAACCACTTTGATTAGCACAAAAACAACTTTAATTACACGTTAAAATCTTTAGTGTACGCGTCTAGGGATTTTCGAGAGGAATGTTGATAAATTCTTGCAGGAATGTGGCCAAGGCTGAAATAGTCGCAGTTGGGCTCTTATTAAAATTAAGGGGATCTAGAAATATTGCGAAATCGCAATGTGTTTTTAAGTTGAATATTAAACGAATGTAACACAGATACCTTTTTTATATACCGATGTAAAAAAATCTTCCTTCTAACTTTGGTATATACTTATGTATTGTCAGGTCATAACTTATTAAACCTGAAGTAATATCTACGATTGTTTCGTCAACAGGAGGAGCTAGACCTAACAGCAGTAAACAAGGCAGCAATGATGGAGCTGCCGGCCGCGAAGAAGTGGCAGATATACTGCAGCCGCAGGCCGCCACCGGGGCAAGCGCCCCCGCTAGCTACCGCGCCGCAAGTCGAAGAGTACATCAAGGCGCTCAATGAAATCGCTGACGTAAGTACCTTTAAATTAAACTCTATTCAACTTCCTCCGACATAAAAGGTAAAAATTAAATTAATAAGAGTGGGTATACACCCACCCCCTATAATATAGAAAAAAAGTTTACGTCTCATAATATACTTTGTGAAAACCCTTAGTTAAGTTTGTTAATCATTATTTGACGCTCATATTAAACCTTAGCTTCATATTCCTTTAACATTAAATTATTTTAGAGTTAAAGGCAATAAAGTTAGCCTACACGGTTGACGTTTCCTGATATGTACACGTGACTGGTTCACCCTAGAATTGTGTCGCGTTGCGGGCACACCTACCTACATTCTTGACGATGTCGTTCTGTTGCCATTCATTATGACTAGTAGGAGTACCTTGAGTAGGATGGTCTTCAAGTTATACTATATGTAATGTTAAGACAGTATAATATATACACAGTACAATACAATACACAATTCTTTATTGAAAACACCACAGTATAGTACATAAATGGGGTAAATACATTATGTTTAAACATAGTGATTCAATGGGCGGTCTTATCGCTAAAAGCGATTTCTTCCAGACAACCTTTGGATGGAGAGGATTGAAAGAAACTGGAATCGGTGGTGTTATAAAAAAAATAAAAATAAAAACAAGGGATATAAAAATGTATATAACTATATATTTTAAATATATGTACATACCATACATACATAATATATACACATAATATAACTATAAGATATATACATATAATACAAATATATGACACATACATACATAGACTACACATATAAAAGTTTAGTCCAGTCAGAAAAAAAAATATTAAAAATAAAAATAAAAATGCAGTTACATCGACAAATAATGGTTGAAAACAAGATTTTTGAAAATATAAATAGATTGTGCTCGTCTTATGGTTACTGGAAGAGAATTCCACAGGCGAACAGCTTGGACGGCAAAAGAACGACCATAGAAGGTTGTGTCATGAGTAGGAATTTTTAGGGTTAAATTTTCTGATGACCTAAGAGATAACGCGTTTGAGCTATGAAGGTAATTGAAGCATTCCTTGAGATAGCGCGGGGACAAAGGATTGAACAATATATTGTAGAGAAGTGTGAGGATGTGAGTAGGAATAAACCTAATATCTCTGGAGGCTAATTGTCTGACTTTAACTCCTTAACGATCCCCTTCAAACTTAAAGCGAATGTCATTGTGACTTTTCCATATGACAAATAATAGAAGTCGTAATAGGAACAAAAGTAACAATTGCTGACCTTATTTTAAACACCACGATGCACTCATAGTTTTCAATGAAACTGCTTAGTTATTATTACATATTACACGTGTTAAATTAAATTGCCCAGCAATCTTCATGCACCAAATGTTTTCTGTTGCATACATGTATGGTTTCGTAAATTTAAGTACCGACCGTATTTAAAAACGATTTGTTGTGTATACTGAGTTGCAGCATTCAATGCAATATTTAAATTTATACCTATCATGGACGGTGCAAATATAGATTTGAAAGGAATTGTAACTTTTGTATTTTGCAGGACAGGATAGAAAATCTATATACGTATCCTACTAGCTTGCGCCCGCGGCTTCGTCCATGTTAAATTAAAGTTATTTTTTGAATATCCCACAGAAACCTAACATTTTCCCAAGGAGTCCACAGACTCTCACCGTGCTACCCCTGTGAGCGAGGGAGGCATAATGCCTTTTTTATACACAATAAAGGTTTGATTAGCCAGAAATTAATGCTAGTTGCCTAAAACCATACCTCCAGTCCTGTTAAAAGATCAACTATATAAATACATATATTATAGTCCAAGGTTTTCTAGCGTCCTTAAAAATTACTTTGGATGGTATACCTCCTGGCAAACTTCATGAGCAACGACCATAGACTTATATAATTCTATAGTAGTAATTTCACATACACAAACTAAAGTTCTACTGTGCAAGTTTATTTGGTAGGTTCTACTCAAGAAGTTTGCCGCTACCTATAACAACTCTTTCCTTGTACTGGTAACATATTATATTATATCAATGATGTCTTTCAACTACAGGCCTTCGCCTCATCTGAGGGTGTGCCAGCGGCGGAAACGTGCGCTCTCGCGGACGGTCTGAAGACGGCCCTGCGGACCAGGGCGCACAGCTTCGTGCTGCGGTTCGTGAAGCAGGGTGGGCTGGGAGCCCTGCTGGACGCTCTGCAACGGGCGCCCCGGGACGACGCCGCCATGAGGCACAACCTCATCGCGGCCATCAAGGCGCTCATGAACAACACCGTGAGTATGATAATTGTCTTCCAGCTCCGTGCTGTAGTTCGTGAAGCAGGGCGGGTTGGGACTGTTTGCTGGACATGCTGCAACGGGCGCTCCGGGAGGACTGCGCCATGAGGCACAACCTCATCGCAGCCATCAAGGCGCTCATGAACAACTCCGCAAGTATGATGATTGTCTTCCAGCTCCGTGCTGTGGTTCGTTAAGCAGGGCGGGCTGGGACTGTTGCTGGACGAGCATATCTACCATATGTAGTAGATATTTTATGTGTCGCTTCCGTGTAGTTAATACGGTATTACGGTATGTATATAATCAATGGTACGATGATTGTCTATGTTCGTCATCGTAGTTTGTGTAAGGTTTAATTTCTTAGTAATGTCAACATAATTAGCATCAGCCTTTTAATGTCCCCACTGCTGGGGCTCTACGAATGGAGCAGCGATTGTGCCATGAACCACCACGCGCCCCCAGTGCGTATTGGTGAATACTAACGATTGCAGATGCAGCCGGGACCAATGGCTTTAAGTGCCATCCTAAGCACGGAGAAGCTTGAGATAATTAATTTTTGGTCACCTATGACCGGCATTTGCCATTGCGAACTTCCACGAGCTTGCTCCACTGAGCTCCTCAATGAAACAATATTTATGATTTCATTTAATAATGTTAAGTACCTGCTTTTGAGAATAGAACATTTTTTATTCTCGGTTATTTTTGAACCTCATCTTTTAGCCTAGATTAGCTTAATAATAGGTTTATTTTAATTTATCCCCGGAAGGTCTGCTAGTAACATGTCATTTGTGTATGTACAAGATCGTTGCATTTAGTTAGGGAGGGATGTGGGTGGCATCACAATAAAACCGGCTGGCCCAACTTGCACTACACAACTATGAAGGATTCACGGAAGTTGTATATTGTCGCATGATGAAAAGACAAGACACACAATATCAAATTCTTATTGCCACTCGTGATTAAATTAAAATCATAACAATGAAACTTTGTTTTAAATGTATTTTAATTTTATTTTGAGCGTTTAACTGTAAGATTTATAAATCTAAAGGAAATATTACTAGAAAAAGGCCACCCGGAAAGGCAGCCGAAGATGTTTCGGTTCGAATCCTGTATGGTGCCTACTTCGTACGTAAATTTTATTATTCCGCGATGCACCCGCATGAAACGGTTTTTTCTTTCTAATAAAATGCAACTTAGTAGGAATAATAGATAACACGTAATTTTACCGCTGCTTTTTATGTGTCATCAAAACTCATCGTTTGAGTGAAGCACAGACAACATTGTGTTGTGAGCGGAATGCGGTAGTCGTGACCGGCCCAGTTTGACGCTGGAAAAACTTGAAAAATGCACATAAAAACTGCAGCAGTCGTGACCAGAATACCTAGTACTTTGCTTCAACAGACTGTTTTATTAAGTAAAAAATGCACGACGAAAAGGAATCCATGTTCTAACTAGTGTAAGAAGTTAAATCGCATAAAATATAGTATTCATGCTGCAATTAAATGTAAATCTGTGAAATATGCAAAACGTTCGATTCGATTTCATTATAATTTATTCAAATTTCATTCTATTATTTTTATTGTTTCTTTTTGTCTATTTAAAATTTTGATTTTTGAAGAACTCTTACAGCTTATTTAAAAACAAATATCTCAACATTCAAATAATATTTAGGTGGGTTGTTATATTTTCACTCAGACCAATAATAATAATAATAAAAAAAATGTTTAATCAGCACCTGAATGTTATCAGAAGAAATGCATCGATACGTTTAAAATAAAATTCGTTTTCCAGACTGGTCGCGCGCACGTGCTAGCACATCCAACTAGCATTGATCTCATCGCACAGTCCCTCGACACAGAGAATGTAAAGACGAAGGTGGCAGCGCTCGAGATACTCGGCGCTGTGTGCCTGGTACCCGGCGGCCATAAGAAGGTAAGTGAGTTATGCCTATTCACTGTATAGTATAAAGTATAATAAATTATATAATCTTCAATCATCAATAATACTTATCAAAGTTTGCTGGTTAAAATCCGGCTCGAAGGACCATTTATGTACCGGTTAAAATATAAAAATAATACCAAAAAATAACTACAATGCGAAGAGATAGCGCAGCCTAAGAAATACGAGAAGAAATTCGACTGTCATTAAGGTCGCGGTAGCATAATTGCTTAGTGCATCCGCCGGGATAGCAGAGGGTGTAGGTTCGAGTCCCTTCTGCTGCCTCGGGTGTATTTATTTCTAGTATAAAAAAAATGGATGCGTGTAACTTATGTACGCGCGTGAGAAGTTATACTTCTTTAGCATCATTAAAAATATTTTTTAATTGCATGCTAATAATTAATAATTACAATAAAATAATAAAAGGACTGGAAAAGGATAGTTAACACAGTCAATTAAGTTCAGTTTTAATTTGAAAAATTAAATAAATATTCAAAATATTCAATTAAAATCACTACTGAATTTAAGTTATTAGTCCATATGTAATTAGCACTTGTAAGTAACTAAAACACGTTGTGTCTATATAGAAACTAGAAACATGTGGATAAATATTATAAATATGAAAACAGTGATCAGAGGCGACGAGCGTGCCAACATTGTTTTTGACAACGCGATCATCTTATGGAGCTCCGTGGATCGTTCAAAGTACCTTTCGAACAGATGTCTAATAATGGTGGATTATTGACCACTAAGTGGTTAATTATTAGACACTAACATTCATAACGCGCCCGCGGCCAACTTCATGGTGTTATTATTGTGTTACAGTAATGCGCGCGCATCTCGAAATTTCACTCACATGATTTTTTCATAACGCGCCCGCGGCCAACTTCATGCTGTTACTTTTGGGTTACAGTGATGCGCGCGCATCTAAAAATTTCACTCTCATCATTTTTTCATAACGCGCCTAAAGAAGTATAACTTCAAAAATAAATTATAAATGATTTATACCGAATTGATAGTAGAAAACCTTTCAATGCTGAATTTATATTAGTAGCCTAAGTTACTCCTTAATACATCAACTACCTGCCAATAAAAGTCCTGTCAATTCAGAGATTAGCTGGAACAATCAGACAGGCAGACAGACAAAAATTGTAAAAAATGTTATTTTGGTGTATGCACCGTAAATATATTCATATGCATGTGCGGTTATTTCAATATTACAAACCGATACTCGAATTTTTTTTGTATGCATAGATTACACTTATGAATGCACCTTGTGCCAGTGGTGTTTGATTGTACACTAATTTAATTATGTTTATTTGATTTTCACGCGTTTGTTATCGCGTTTTAGTGATCTACGATAGAGACGGTATTCGGTAACATGAAATGCACCGAACAGGAACAATTTATATACCGTTGTTCAATAGTTATGCGAAAACGCCTATGAGATTTTTCAGAGCAAAGTAAACATTGAGCTCTTAAGTTGCATTCAGCGCCTGTACTTACAAAGTTGAGTTTCGATATATCGTGATCATCAATTTGTTTCTCTACCTTGCATAGTTTTTAATGCCATAACGGACACGACAGAAAAACTTTTACGATACGACGATTTTAAATGTAGATACTCAGGGTGCTGATTTTAATAAGTTAGTAATAGTCTTGTATCCATTTTTGACGTAGTTATTGTTACTCAAACACGAAGTCACACATATATAAATATGTTATTCCATATTTCCACTCATATGTTATACAATGTTTCAGTAACAATAACTATGAAAAAAAGCAATACCATTGAACCACTATGGAGACACGATTATTACGTTAGCTTTTCAGAATCGACACCCACATTAGTAAGAACATAAATAACAATATTTCCATAACATACTTCCTACTTTATAGGTGTTAGAAGCAATGGTCCACTTCCAAAAGTACGCGGGCGAAAGGGCTCGCTTCCAAGGTGTTATCAACGAACTAGATCGCAGCGTTGGCGCTTATAGAGACGAACTGGGAGTGAAGACTGCAGTAATGTCATTCATCAACGCCGTGCTCAACTATGGAGCTGGGGAAGACAGCCTCGAGTTTAGGTTGCATCTGCGATACGAGCTGCTCATGCTGGGGATACAACCAGGTGACTATGGACCAAGAAACTAGTCATTAAGACTGCAGTAATGTCCAATAAACTGGGCATTAAGACTGCAGTAATGTCGTTCATCAACGCCGTGCTTAACTATGGAGCTGGAGAAGACAACCTCGAGTTTAGGCTGTATCTGCGATACGAGCTGCTCATGCTGGGGATACAACCAGGTGACTATGGACCAATATACTAGGCATTAAGACTGCAGTAATGTCGTTCATCAATATCGTGCTCAACTATGGAGCTGGAGAAGACAGCCTCGAGTTTAGGCTGCATCAGCGATACGAGCTGCTCATGCTGGGGATACAACCAGGTGACTATGGACCAATAAACCAGGCATTAATACTGCAGTGATTACCAATAAACTGGGTATTAGGACTGGAGTAATGTCGTTCATCGACGCCGTGGTCAACTTAAAGCAAGAGAAGACAGCCTGAGTTCAGGCTCATCTGCGACACGAGTTACTGATGCTGGGGATACTACAACCAGGTGACGCAAAAATCATTTAAAGTAAGAGTTATAATGATGATCAGCGGTTTGGGTATAAGGCCACTCATTGATTCAGCGCTGTTCATTGGTTCCGTAGGTGTAAGGAAAATTATCAGTCTTTTTTTGTAAAGCTTCAGAAATAGCAGCTCTTCATGATAGCTTTGAGAGGTATCAAGGTCTCTGTCCTCAGGGAAGGATAAAAGTTGTTTTGGGAAAAAATAATATTTACATACTAATTAATATAAGATTCATAAATCGAGCGGTTAATGCTTAAAATTAAAAATTTAATGTTAAATAAAGTAGGGGTAATAGGGTTGAAATTTGTACGGGAATCAAACCATATAAAGTCGTAAATAGGGTATTTGACAAGTTTTAGAAAATGATCTCACGTTATTTACTAATGTTGTGTATTTCGTTAAAAAAGACCAAATCAAAAACTCAATTTTCAAGTTGCCTCGAAAAACGTATCACTAGACAATATTGCGTCTCACTGGTGTGTGACGTCACACGACTGTCATTTAAACGTCAAACCATACAATCTAATGTCACTTTAACCGGAAGTTTACTTGCGTGTGACGTCATTTTAGGCTCCACCAATCCCAAGCGTTTTGGGTCACGTGACAATAGACAAGAAAACTATTATATTTATCGTGAGTTTTTAGTAATATTATGAATATTTTTTCTGTTAAAATAGTAAAAACTCCAGCCAATATTCATTCTAAATACAGATGCTAACAATTGGCACTTTATTTTTAATACTGTCAAATACCCTATTATTTGTCTGTACTAATATTACAAAAAGGTAAAGATTCATTTTGTTTGTTAGAAGTACCGAACCTTTGGAACTGATAAACTGATTTTGAATATTCTTTTACGAGTAGAAAACAGATTTTATTGCGTCAAAGTAAATCATCAGTAGTACATTATATTTTTATGTTTTAACTGCCAGATGTTTAAAATCGAATTATCTGTAGTATCTGACCGATTTACGTCGTCAACAGTTATCGAGAAACTGCGCAAATACGAGAACGAGACGCTCGACCGCCACATCGAGTTCTTCGAGATGGTGCGCAACGAGGACGAAAAGGAATTGGCAAGGCGGTTCGACAAAGAGCACGTGGATACTAAGAGTGCCGGCGGAATGTTTGAACTGCTGCGTCGCAAGCTGAGTCATACGGCTGCGTATCCTCACTTACTGTCGCTGCTGCAGCATCTGTTGCTGCTGCCGTGTGAGTATCTAATTCCATATATGGTTTTAAACTTTCATGGTCACTAATATTACAGCAATTTATGTTATTTACGGGATTGCTACCATATTCCTGGTTTTAAGAGAGTCTCCAATGTTTCGGCACTGTAGCAAGCGCCATGATCATGGATTAACACTCCATTCACCATGATCAGTTACTTCGTGCTCATACGACGTGTGATCATATTGATATTACCATCATGTATATTTTTTGCTCGGAGAAAATACAATATTTCAAGATTATTCTGTGATTTATTTAAAGCTTTTGATTGCATAACATATATCATCAAACTTTGCTGAAGAAATAAAATCATCATGGTACATAAAACGCCCATAAAAGTAAATGCATTCACAATTTGCAAGGGCATAAAAGTTGATATTAATGGTACAAAATCTGCTGGCTCTTTTGTGAAAATATGCGTTCCTCAAGGTTAAGTTTTGGGACAATTCCTTTTGTGACCACGATATTAAGAACTACCGTTAGAGAACTGCCTATAAATGCTCTTTTCCACAGCCTACGACTTAGGTCTATTGTTATTTTGGAAATGGCTTAGTGGAGCAAGATTTTCATACATACAATTGAGGGATGCGTGCTAGGAATGTGGGCGAGAAATGTGTGAAGAGCTTGCATCGCTTATATTTACGCACTGTTTCACAGCTTCGCTACACATCCTTGTTTCACTCTCCTCCTAGCACATCTCTGGTAGAAACTCCTTAACGGAACATGTCGATTTCACAGTAGAATGCAGTCGGCATTCGCAACACTTCCTTCTGCTTGGTAGAGTGGTATAATTTGTAACTAAGATATTTTGACGTGAGCTTAGGTTTGTTATCGGGGAACGTTTTTAGAAACGGCCGTTAAACAATTTTCCAGAATTAGCTCGGGGCGTTTTCAACATTAACAGAGTATACCGGTTGCACAGTGGAATACAGTCCGCACACGCAGCACTTCTTAGTTTTATACCGCCCCGAATTTGTAACTAAGATATTTTGACAAGAGCTTGTTATTAGGAACGACTGCTAGAGCACTAACCAGAATTTGCTAGAATCCTTTTTGAACATTAACGGAACATTTATTTTTTACAGTGGAATACAGTCCGCACTCTCAGCACTTCTTACTTCTGGACCGGGTGGTTCAACAGCTTGTTCTGCAGCAGCCAGGGGCAGGAAGCCGGGCCAATAGCGAGCAGGGAAGCTTACGGGATCTCAACACTGACCCGGCCAAGGTAAATTAATTAAGAACATTTAAAGCGCTAACTGCGAGTCAAAAGTTTATAATAAAAGCCGAAAATTTTGTAGGCTGTTCTAGAGAGATCATATTTTAAACAAACTTCTTTTTTATTAGCGAATAAATGAGGGTAGCAATTTTCAATATTCTATTTACGCCATCGATTTCAAGCAAATAACATTTATTTTGAATTCTGCGTCTATTAAAATACAGACTTGTTGATCGAGCTCGGGAACTTACTAGTTGCTTAAAATTCTCATGGTAAATAATCTGGTTTAGGTCTACGATCCCGATGTAGCGCCACTTGAAATCAACGTCAGCGAAATAGTTCATCTTTTAGCGAAGGAAGAAGAGTTAGTGGCAGCCAGAACGAAAGCCGAAAACTTAGAGAAAGAAAATGTCGACATGGCAACAGAACTCGCTAAGAAGGTATGTACGATATGTTAATAAGTAACAAACCAAACGATAATGCTTCTGCGGGGCAGGTGTTAATCTTGCCAACGGATTGGGGATATAATAATCATTGACCATCACACCGTAAACTTTCGTAATGAATTAAGTTTGATAATAGCTAGACATTGAGGAAAAGCTTGATTAAATAAAGATAACTACAGTCATTTATGATATAACTATTCACATCCTCTTAAGATAACATTTTTTTTATTACAATGGTTATAATGATTCTATTACGACTTGAATAAAATAGAAACGCACATATTATTGGTTATGAATCCACTGCAATCCAATCCAATAACTTTATGCTTCGATTGACAATGTTATTGTTGAACGACCTTTTTTAAATGATTGTGTCTCATATATTTTGGGTACATTTCTACTTGTCATCTTAACATCGCGCGCGTAAGCTCGCGACTAATAGCATGTGAGTCGCGCATGCATCAACTAACACTAACGGGCGCTGGCAGGAGCGGCAGCTGGATCAACTAGTGCAGGAGCGCGAGGAGCTGGAAGGGGTCTCCGCGCGCCTCAACGACCGCCTCGAGCGAGAGACGCACGCGCACATGCAGTGTGCAGAGCGCGCGCGCGCCGCCGCCTGCCGCGCGCACCAGCTGGAGACACAGGTAACGCGCGTGGGGCGTGGGTGGGGGCAGACGCACGCGCACATGCAGTATGACAAGCGCGCGCACCAGCTGGAGACAGGTAATGCGCGCGGGGCGGTGGTGGGGGCAGACGCACGCGCAAATGCAGTATGACAAGCGCGCGCACCAGCTGGAGACACAGGTAATACGCAAGGGGCGGGGATGGGGGCAGACGCACGCGCACATGCAGTATAGGACCTTATTCATTATCAATCTTGCTGGATCCAGCATGCGGGACAGCGCTATACACGTAAAAGAGATGGAGATACAGGATCTCTTTTACGTGTATATCGCTGTCCCGCATGCTGGATCCAACAAGATGGATAATGAATAAGGCCCTTATGACAAGCGCGCGCACCATGAGACAGGTAATGCGCGCGGGGCGGGGGTGGGGGCAGACGCACGCGCACATGCAGTATGACAAGCGACAGCAATTCTTTCCAAACAATAATATAATTGAGTTGTCAAAATATTTCTAATGCAGAGATTTTTTCTTACGATTTATAATAATAGTATCTAGGAAACTGCTTAAAGAATATTGTTCATAAATAGCTCCATCTAGCGACATCAAATATACAGGGCGTCCCACGGCTACATCACAAGGAGGGAAAGTATATTAAATATTAAAGATAGGATATTTTACTGAAAGAAGACATCATTTCATTTTTGATAATAACTAGAACTGCATTCACAGATTTTTTAATAATCGACTGCTACAACTGGGAATCAAACTCGAGAAATTTCGAAAAAAATATGACATATTTTATGATAACCATCGAAAGGGTTTATCATAAAGATTATTTTTTACTAATTAACATAGCATTGTAAATGAAAGGAATATCTTATTACGTGATAAAAAGAAGAAAGTGATATACAAACTGTAGTACGTATGCATTTCTTTTTGAACTCAGTTACAATGCGATTGGCTGAAATTTGTAAAAATAATAATTCGAAAATAGAACACATATATTTTCAAGCATCTGTACCCCTAGCACGAACCATTCGAATAGTCTGCGAGTGTGAAATGTCAATATCAAATTTTGTATGGAAACTTATACAGCAGCACCACAAAGTACGTAACGAGAACTAAAAATCAGTACACATTTGACAATGACATTTCGAACTCGAAAACTATTCGAATTCGATATTGGTTCGTGCTAAGGGTACTGCTCTTTTTTTGTGTGTTTTCATTTTAGTTAAAAACCGCGTTCTCTTAATACATTTACACAAGGGGAATCTAAATAAGGAAAGATATCTAGAAATACTTAATATTTTAAGAGGTGAGATCAATAATCTTCCTGATGCAAATCGACGAAATCTCATTTTCCAGCAAAATGGGACTCATAACAGTAGGAGAACTGCCGAGTTTCTTAATGAACACTTTCCTTCCTGGATCGGTTCTTATGGACAAATAAGATGGCCAGCGAGATCCCCAGATCTTACCCCACTGGACTTTTTTGGTGGGGTTATGTAACAGATGTAGTATACAAGAACCGGTAAGACAGTGTGCAGGAGTTACAAAATAACTCAGACGTATTATTACAAACATTCACCACGCAAAGATAATGAAATAGACAGGCAGAGAAAACATTAATAGAGTGAGAATTTGAATACAACAAATCGGATCACATTTTGATACATTTCGTTTTTTATTACTTTTTCTTAAATATTTTTAATAAAATGTGTAATTTTATGACTTTTCTTTCATTTAAAATGCTATGGTATTTAGCAAAAAATAAATGTTATGATTAACTGTTTCGATGGTTATCATAAAACGTCGTGTTTTTTTTTCGAAATTTCACGAGTTTGATTTCCCGTTTCAGCAGGCGATTTTAAAATAATCTGTGAATGCAGTTCTAGTTATAATTAAAAATAAAATAATCTTCAATATTTAATATACTTTCCCTCCGTGTGAGGTACCCGTGGGACGCCCTGTATATCTGATTTTTTCCATTTCCATACATTGATAAATTAATTAATCAATATTGAATGTTCCGTATAAATAATAACATTCAACTATTCGTATTTACAGTTAAGTCAAGAAAGGGCAGAGAGAGTAAGATTCGAAAAACTAGTCAGTGAAGGAAGTATACCAGATGATGCAAAGGTGAGTTATTAGTTTATTTTTCCGCAGTCATTCCCACCGTTATTATGCTCTGCACTTTTTTGCTCAGTAAACTTTTAGATTTGCAGGTTACCTGTATTACCATAATATAGTGGCTTACTAACTCACAATTATTAAGTGAATTCTCCGTGGAAGCACTACAGAACTTTAATTAACGTGAAGTTGTTCCTTGGACCAAATTCCGTTGAACGACAATCTCGGCATCAGCCTGTTAATGTCCACACATTAACAGGCGATCAGTCTTATGGATGTAATAGGAAGATTGGGTTATGACCCACCACGCCAGCCCAGTGAACGACTGGAGATGTATGTAGCCGGGACCACTGGTTTATTGTGCCTTCCAAAGTACGGAGGAGCTCAAGATAGTAAATTTTTGGTCACCCAACGATTGACCGACCACTGCGAAAGTTGCTTTACTTCGGCGACCGCAGTCGAATGCGCTTACCTCTAGCGCCATATAGGCTTCTCAAGATAAGTTACGTCACTCCGTCAAAGCACTACAGAACTTAAATTAACGTGACGTTGAACCCTGAACCAAATTCCGCTGAAAGGCAATCTTTCTCTTACTGTTGAATAATTTAATGACCTCCGCGGCCGAGTGGTTTGTACGCCGGGTTTTATGGTGTCGCCTATTCGAGAGGTCCCGGTTTCGAATCCCGGTGGGGGCAGATATTTGTGTGATGAATACGAGCATTTGTACTCCAGTCATGGATGTTTAATATGTACTTATATATAAATATACTTATTTATACAGAAATATGTACAGTATATGTATTCTATTCGTTACCCTAGAATCCCATAACACAAGCCTTATAGTGCTTACTTTTTTGCTAGGCTAATTGGCGTGTGTTAAAAAAAACTAACAAACTAAATACAACATACTAAAAGAGTAACATTTCATTCAAACAGGTCAGCAATCTCAAGAACGCCGTGATAGAAACTTGCATACCTCCCCCACCGCCCCCGCCTACATTACTACCTCCCGCGCCTCCCCCCGCGCCCGCACCCCCTCCAGCACCCCTAGCTCCCCTCGCCCCACTTCCCCCTGCACCCCCTAAAGCTAAAAAGAACGTCCCAACTCCCGGAAATCCCCTGAAAAGCTTCAACTGGAGCAAACTACCCGACGCAAAACTACACGGCACGATATGGCAAGAGTTAGACGATACGAAGTTGTACAATGCGATGGATCTGCATACGATTGATAAGATGTTCTGTGCTTATCAGAAGAACGGGGTACAGGTGAGATTTTGTCTTTTGAAATATCGTTTAGCGGTAACCTCAGAACAGACATTCATACAAACAGCTTTTATGATAATGCCCAAATCATGATCGAAACAAATTATCATATACAATTATGATACGGAATACACGTGTTTGTAATGGAAAGCAAACCATAAACTTAAGATGGATCAAAAATATGAAAGTTTACAAATAAGTAACTTTGTAGTTAAATATGATCGACACAATGCAAAGCTGGTATTCAGTGTAATATGAATTTTACTAGCGTTGATTTTAATTACAGAACGAAGGTTCTGTGGAGGATCTACGCCAATTGGGAGCTAAGCCACGTACGAAAATTCTTTCCGTCATCGATGGAAGGCGGGCTCAAAACTGCACTATACTGTTGTCCAAACTCAAGATGACTGATGAAGAAATCTGTCGGTAAGTGATTAATATAATTTTATTTTTAGTTTACCTTAATAGTAGAGGAGCCCAAGTGAGGAATTTGGATATACTTTCATTGAGATGGGATATTACGTGATCCCTCCAGTAGCTTTTATTTAAAATTAAATTATATAATATTGATTTAGCATGGTCGTTTGTTAAAATTTTTTTTGCTACCCTAGATGGTAAGGAGGGCAACTTACATAGAAGTTGCCCTCCTTATGTTATTCTGCCGTGCTCGAGTAAATCCAAAATTCCTCGCACGGGCTTTCCGACTATAACCCGATATATGAAAGACCTTAATTAAATTTCGTAAGATTCCATATTTAGTGATTAAAGAGACTGTCACACTCTGAGACATCAATTTTTTTAAAGCTTGATTAAGACGTTGCTATAACTTTCCTGGCGATAGCAATAGAAAAAGACAACACGACATTTTCTTAATCTAACGTGGATTAACTCTATTTCAATTGTACAAATACATGATACGGGAACAGTTTTATGATGCACTTTAAGTACTGCGATTTTAAGTTTATCAATTTTATTGACAACATTATTTATGAAATATCATCTAGATAACTATCATACTTTTTACTTGCAAATTCATGTGATAATTATTGTTATATAATTATTATTTCATTCAATATTTTACGGGGGTAATACCCTACACTCCTACTTTTCTTTGTCGTTACACTCTTGGCAGAGTGGTCGTGGCCGTTACTATAGCGTCATCGTCGGATTCAGTGACGGCGAACCGCTGCACAAAGCGACGTCATACCTCTCTCACGGCAGCTTTCCTTGTGCATTCCTACACTAAAAGAGTATTAATCCATTCAACCAAGTTCCTGAGATTGCTGACAATCTCAAGAACGCCGTTATAGAAATTTGCATACCTCCCCCACCTCCCTCGCCTACATTATTATCTTTAACATTTATTAAATATTTTGTTGGAAGGACTTTTAAACCTTTTAAATTATTTTCAGTGCCATATTACGAATGGACACCGGTGAGCAGTTGCCCATAGACATGGTGGAACAACTCCTGAAATTCACACCAAGCGCTGAAGAAGCAGCGTTGTTAGAAGAACATCAAGACGAATTGGATAGCATGGCCCGTGCTGACCGCTTCCTTTACGAGATCTCCAAGTGAGTGTGTACGAGTCACGTACAGTAATCTTGTATATCTGCGGAGCAAGCATAACCTACTTTAATCACTAAGCTGTATCTAAGAAATGCATCAGAATACGTCATTGTATTAACTATATAAAAACACATATTTGACATAATTCAAAAAAAAAATCAAAATTCAATATCGTTTATTCAGTCTAGGCTGTAACAAGCACTTGTGAATGTCGAAAAGCTACGCCATCGGTTCGCAAATCTACGGCGGGAGACCTTGTACTGAGAAGAACCGGCAAGAAACTCAGCAAGGGCTGCTTTTTTCTCCCTGTTTTATTACATACAGTGTCGTCCAATTGAAAGTTGATATCAAACTTGCAAACATGTGTTGAGGTCAACTTCCATCACATAATGTCAAATTTGTAACAATAGACAATCAACGAATTTACTAACAATAAGTGCAAAGATAAGTCCCAAAATAGCAAGAACCAATTTTCAAAACAAAATGAACAAGTATATGAAAGGGAGTAAGTGCAAGGTTCTCTTCAAAACTCTTGATAATTTTCCAAAAGCTATACTAAAACCAAGGCTCCCGCCTTAGTTTCAATACAACTTCCGAAAAACCATCTACAGGTAAAATTACATCCAGGCCGTTTTATCATTCAAATATTGATTGACAGTATAATATCCTTTCTTAAGTAAACAATTCTTAATGTGTATTTTAAATTTATGAGGAGGCAAATCAAGGATATCAATAGGAATCTTATTATAGAAATGTATACCTTGACCCATAAATGATTTATGAACCTTCTGTAACCTGTAATTTGGTATCTTAAGTTTATTTTTATTCCTTGTATTAAAAGAATGTATGTCACTGTGTTTTAGATAATAGTTAATATTGCTTCGAACAAAAAGTATGCAATTATAAATGAATTGAGAAGCAACAGTCAAAATCCCGATTTTTTTAAAATTTTCTCTAAGAGATGTTCTAGAACTAAGTTGATAAATAGCCCTTATAGCTCTTTTTTGCAAGATAAATATAGTTTCAATATCGGCTGCTGATCCCCAGAGAATAATACCATAGGATACAATACTATGAAAGTAACTAAAGTATACAGTTCTAGCAGTAGCTACATCAGTAAGTTGTCTTATTTTACGTATGGCATAGGCTGCTGAACTAAGTTTACCAGCTAGCAGAGAAATATGAGGATACCATTGCAGTTTCGAGTCTATGGTTATACCTAAGAATATCGTTGATTCAACTAAATCTAGGTTTTCATTGTTTAATTTAATTCTAATGGTTTCGCTTTTAACATTAGGTAAAGTGAATTTAATGCATTTGGTTTTATTTGCATTTAATTTTAAGTTATTTACATTAAACCAGTGCAATACTTGTGAGAGAGCATTATTTACATCGTCAAAGTTATTCTTGTATCGGTCAACCTTAAATAATAAAGAAGTATCATCAGCAAACAATACGATCTCACACAATTTTTCCACAAAAAATGGCAAATCGTTTATATACAATAAAAATAGAAACGGACCTAAAATCGATCCCTGGGGAACGCCCATTTTCACATAAGATCCAGATGACTTAACACCATTTACCTCTACAGTTTGAACTCTGGAACTGAGATACGATAGTAGCAAGTTTTGGGCTGCGCCTTTGATTCCATAGTGATTTAATTTTAACACCAGCGTCTGGTGCTCAACGCAGTCAAACGCCTTGGATAAGTCACAGAATACCCCAAGAACATTCTGCGACTTCTCCCAGGCTTCCATTATATGTCTAATAAGTGCAACACCCGCATCCATTGTTGATCTACCCCTAGTAAAGCCAAATTGATTATTATGTAACAGTTTGTTCAAACTGACATGCGATAATAATTGATCTAAAATAATCTTTTCGAAAATTTTACTTAATACCGGTAATATTGATATAGGTCTGTAATTACCGGGATCATTTCTTATGCCGTTTTTGAAGAGAGGGATAACTTTACTATATTTCATAAGGTCTGGAAAATCACCTTGATCAATACACTTATTGAATATATCTGCAAGATATGGAGCGATAACTGTTATTATACTTTTAGTAATTTTATAATAAATCAATACTCGTCATGCATTCAACAAGATAAGTTGTCTTCCTTCCTTCATCCTAATATCATTATGTAGGGGTGACCCCCTACAGTTTGGTCCTTCGAGCCGGATTTGAACCAGCGACCTATGGATTGTGGTTATTGGTGTAAGGGATATATTTTGATTATACGTTTTAACGTATCGTGTGAGACTGAGGATCCAAATTAAGCATGGTTCATTGAAGAATTAATTAAAATTTCAATTTAAAAATATTTTTTTTAGTATTGTTTAAAGTATGCTTTATATGTTAGGTCTTTGATAAAATCTGTTGTTGTATTAAATAAATATTGAACATTTTGAAATGCAAACCAAATTATTATTGAAGGAGGCAGAAAAAAATGTAAAAACTAGATCTTGCAACTGTTGAAATTCGGATGAAAAGTGAAATTACTATCGATAATATAGAATTCCAACTGGAACTGTTATTTTGTATTAAAAAAAGTTCACGTATTTGATCCTTCGAGCCGGATATCAAAAAGGTCAATCAATCAAATATCAATTACGCCGTGACGTGGCGTCACTAAGCACATTCTATTGTCTGTACCACGGTGAGTGTTCTGAGGAGTTATTCTCTCTTATTCCACCTTCCCCTTTCCTTCAGAGGACCACGCGCGCTGGCCTACGTTGTAACCGTCTAACTGTGGCCACAATTCCAACGTGTACAAAGAAATTTGGTGATTCATTTCTTTCTCGCACTATCCGTAAATGGAATGCTCTGCCCGCTCACGTGTTCAACCTGGGATAATTTAAAAGAGGCGTGAAGAAGCAACATGCAGGCCGGCAGGGTGAGGATGGCGGGTGTGGCAGGTAGGATTGCTGTATCAGCTATCTTCGCGTCTGGACTTCACCTTCATTTAACATCAGGTGATGTGGAGTCATTTGTAGGACCTATCTATAAAAAAAGGTCGTCATAGCTAATTATTTTTTTGCAAAACCTGTCATGTTTCTTTAAAATTAGTTGTCCCAAACCTTTTAATAAAATGTTATGAATTTATTTCACAGAATCCCTCACTACTCGCAACGTGTACGTTCTCTGCTATTCAAGAAAAAGTTTTCCGCGGCAGCAGCGGAGGCGACTACTCGAGCGCAGACAGTGTTGAGGGCCGCGCGAGATATGACGCGATCGAGGCGGCTCAAGGCTTTATTGGAAATAGTATTAGCCTTAGGGAACTATATGAATAGGTAAGTAAGAAGAATAGTTTTGTTTGGGACATAGCAACAATATTAGAATTTACTAACAAACACACAAATAAATTTTTGAAGTGAAAACTTCTTTAGCGGCGTTATACACTTTTTTTGTAATGGGTAAAAAATGTAAACTCGCGTCAGGACGCGTGGCCTGATCGCGTCATGACACGTGGCCTGCTCGCGTCCAGACATGTGACCTAATCGAAAATTCGTAAGACGAAAACAATAAAATTGGAAAGGTTGTTGACTTTCAATGTATTGGACGAAACATAGTAATATTTTATTTTATCGTATTATAATAATAAGTCTCTAATTAGGACGTCCAGGTGGCAGCTTTATTGCAAAGAAAATGCATTTTTTTACAATAGATGTTGCTAGGTGCGCTTAAATGTGATTCAGGTAACTTAATTTTTCTGAGAGATAAACTTTTTAATGTACCTAATATAAATTTCATGTTTGTGTACGATAGCGCAATAACTAAATATTGTATTCTACCACACAAATGATAGTACTTTTATACTGATAATTAAAGCAATTCATGCAAAATTATTCCTTAACCATTTCAAAATATCAAAAATGCACAACGTTAATATTCAAGTTTTCACTTCTGCCGGCACTCCCGGAGTGCAACCCGTCGTTTTTTTCTCTCTCAAATCGATCCCAACTCAGAGTGATGGTGATGTTTGTGAGTGCCACTATAAAGTTTAAAAAGGTAGTCAAAATCATAATAAAGAAGTAAAAATTATACTTAAATCAAAAATGCCTGAATATCAGGATATATAAAATAAGAAAAAAACAGATAAATAAATTTTTATTATAATATTAACTTTCATTAGTATCGGTTTGACGTTTAATGTTGACATTGGGCTTAGTTATGTGTTTGACAAGTAGTTTTAATATTTTTGAGTGAATCCTTTACTAAATAACTTACACTTACTTTATTAATGAACGAGGAATAAGCTGATCATTGACCCCATATTTTGTTCATATCACTCTAATGCCATTTGTAATTCAATGAACATTGAGTAACTAATCCAAGCTTAATCTTCTTTTATTAATAAAGAGGTGAATAATTAAAACTTAATTTATCAAAAGCATATTTTCTAAAACAATAATATAGTTGCATTTTTATTATCAAAACTATAATCTTCTGCTGATTCTATAATCATTTTCGTTTAGGGGTGCCCGCGGCAACGCATCTGGTTTCCGGCTGTCGTCGTTGAACAAACTCGCCGATACCAAGTCTAGCGTGTCCAGAAATACTACCCTTCTACACTATCTAGTCGAAATGCTTGAAACTCCACAGGTAAATATTGCACTGGCACTTTTGCACTGGTTTTGAGCTTTGTGTGTTTGATCACTGGACGATTTAGGATCGTATTACAGAATGACAACTAAGTGTTGATCTTTTCTTGAGTACAGTTAGAAAGGGATGTGGCTTTGTATACTATTATACACATATAGCATATAGTGACATCCCTTTCTAACTGTATTCAAGTAAAGGTCAACACTTAGTTGTCATTCTGTAATACCTGCCTTAGTCTCTATATAAAAGTATTTAGTGCTTTCATATGAGTTTTGAATTATTAAGAATACTGTACAGCTATTATATAATTATCATTATATAATAATAGCGTACAGCTGTTGTTTATTTGTAACATGTTGTTCTAATAACGATATCTAGCAAGGTAGTCTCCGATATTTTTGAAATATCGCTAAAAACAAAGTACACGGTAGCAATCCCTTAAATAACATAAATAACTATAACAATAAAAAACCTTTTCAACACATTTACTCAAAAAATGCATTTATTAAAGTTGTATACTTGATTCGAAAGTTTAAAATTCGGGCCGTACAACGAAGCGTGCGTTAAAACATTTAACCTCAGGCTCCCATACATGACGCCGTGTGTATTTTTTAGTTTTTTTTTAATATTGCGGTCGAACCTCATTTGAAAAGCTTAATCTATACCTTTGTTTCTACTTTAATACTAAAAAGAAAAAGACGGAAGATATAGTCCTTATTTTCACCAGCCGCACGTGGATTACTTAAATTAGGTATAGATACTGTTTCGCAAATGTGTTGAAAAACGTTGTATGACATTCGTGCGGAATTGGTATTTACAAAATCTTGACTGTGGTAAGCCCTCGATTTCTACTCCTTTGTAATAACCAAGTTTACCGCACTAAGATCATAAATAACTATTATTTCCCAGTTCAAAGACATCCTACTACTCGAAGAGGACTTACCGCACGTACGCGCCGCTGCCAAAGTGTGCGTCGAGCAACTAGAAAAGGACGTGAGCTCCCTACGCGCCGGCCTACGGGAGGTAGCGCGGGAACTGGAATACCACGCGGCTTTACCCGCACCCGCGCCGCACGACGCCTTCCAGCCCGTCATGCGAGACTTCCACGCGCACGCCGTCTGCGCCTTCACGCAGCTGCAGGACCTGGCCCAGGTGCGCGCGTCTATATACATACAGACAATGTGCGGGTAACAGCTGGAGAAGAACGTAGTCTCAGCTCTTCTGCTTCGGTCTCGACTGAAGCTGTTGTTTTAGGAATGTAACATCGCTTAACAGATTCTAACAGCTGTGTTAATCTCATATCTCATCAAACTTCAGCCTAAGATCCACTTGCAGCAAACTTACTAATCTAAATATAACTAAAACTAGATTTAGCCTGTAGGAAACTGTCAAAACTTTATTATGACATTCTTGTATGAGCTAAATAATTTAGTAAAATCTAGATTAGCAGAATTGCTGCAAGTTCACTTGAGTCAAAGTCTTTAGATATGTTTATAATGTTTGTTTTCTAATTTTAGAAGGGAAGGAATACGAAGTGGTCAATGACTTTCATCTGCAAATTTTGCGTGTTTCTAAGGAAAGAAACGGTAGGATACTGAAAAAATCCTCCTCATATTATTCGACGAGGTATACCATTTCCCCGCACACATCGTCTGCGTCTTCAGACAGGACTATCTCGTTGCGCAGTCCCAAAGTAGTTTATTAAAGTACCTAGTCCAATGGAATATAATAATCTGTCTATTGAACTATTATTACTAAATCGTATTTGTAAAATAATTCAATTTTAAACATATTACTTTCCATCAGGACATGAAGAGTCGTCTAGAAGCGTGCGCGCACGCATTCGGCGAAGAACCCAGCGCGTCGCCGGAACAATTGTTCGGTGCGATGGACGCATTCCTCACGCAACTGGCTGAAGCTCGCGCGGAATGCGACGCCGCAAGACGACGCCGCGACGAGGAGGAGCGTCGCACCAGACATGAGCAAGAGGTAAGTTTTAGAAAGTTTGTTAATGAGTAGAATTGTAGAATACCTAGAATGCTAGGAAACATCAGTGATCCTGTTAGGGCTCAACTGGCTGAAGCTCGGGTGAAATCCAACGCCCGCCGCTTGAAAACAAGATAGGGGGAAGAATATTACACTAGACAAGAGCAAAAGGTGAGGCTTACTAACCTTGATTACCCTAGCAAACATACGTATCTCTGTTAGGCGATGAACATTAATTTTTCGGTGCGATGGACCCTCTCCTCGCGCAACTCGCAGAAACCAGCAAGAGGTAAGCCTTAAAAACCTTGTATACTCTGGCGAATCTACATACGTCACTTCCATAGTAAACTTACGAATTTGAATTTCATAAAACCTACTACGCCAAAATATCATATATTAATTACTTTGGGTATATAAACATAAAATGCAGATTCAAACAATCAAACTTTTGGAACCGTCATTGATAACATTGAGTGACTTTTCCCGGGTGTTAAGTACCCCATTATGTGCAGTTTTTTATTATAGATTTTTACTACAAAAGCAAATTCGTAACTTTGCCGTAGATGTAATATATTCGCCAGAGAATTTTTTTCTAACGAAACAGACACCTATGAATCTGTTTGGTAAGAAACAGTTGCTCAGTGCGATGGACGCTTTCCTCAGCATTACAATTGATTTGTTTACATGTAACCTATTTTCTGCCCCAGCTGAAAAAGCGGACAATGGAGCGCAAGCAAGCGTCGAGCCTTCTAAGCTCCGTAGGCAAATCGCTCGGCAAGAACTCTGATTGCAACGGCCATGCTAACGGGGATTCCTCGCGTGACGGAACCCTCACGAACGGTCAGAAGGGTGAGTTCGATGACCTCATCTCCGCGCTACGCACAGGCGACGTATTCGGCGACGACGTCGCCAAGTTCAAAAGGTCCAGGAAGGCTTCCAAAGCCTCGCACAAGGGAAGGGATTCACCCCCCAAGGGAATTTGCCGCGAAGACTCTAGGGAACGCCAGAAGAATTGAACTCGGGAATTGTGACACCTACAAGGTGCCAGGGAATATGTAACTCTTCTATCCAAGTAGACGTTTGATTAGTCCGATTTACACTTCTTGCTAATTTCAGTTTGTAACTCGTGAGTTGAGAGTTCTTGAATTGTAAAATTTTGACTAACGACGTATCGAAAGTAGTTGATTTGATTGTAATTTGTTTCGTTTCCAACTGTTTATTCTGGTTGGTAAACGGAAAAAGTGATTGGCTGGTCCAAGTTATTTTAAGGCGGACACTAAGATCAGCGACAACGAAAACGAAATAAAAAATAGAGGCCATTTTTATTACTCTTTTATATGACTGTACTGTCTGTTAACCTTTCACAAACTAGGTGCCTAATTTTAAACATTTTTTAGTTCTACATGAGATTTTTGACGATTTGGCTTTGCTGGCTATCGACTGATTAAGTCAAAGACTGTGCATGTTATTCCATAGACATAATAATTTAAGATGTATTGATAAGCGATGTGTGATTTGAATAACCATAGACTAGACCAGATAGTTTTTTTTAATAATAACTCGTCATATTCTATCTTCAAGTTACTTGAAAATTTCAATGTTAAACAAATTCATCTTTAAAATGTTTGATTTTTAAATTTGTCAATACTTTTTACTTGTCTGCCATATGTTGAAGTAAGTTTTTATATCCAAAGGGCTAATTTACTTTCGAATGTATTAAGAGTGACAATAAGTAGACTCAAATAATTTGATGAATTGGGTGGCCTACTCCTTTTTTACTTAACTCTTACAGACGGCCACAAACAATTTTTTTGATAAATATTTTCTATGAAACATTAATATACATATATAGTCTGAACTTATTCACTAATGGAAATCCATAGTGTGCCTAAACTTTTATAAGCATAATTTGTTTAGAAATATTGCCGCTATAATATTGTCAGCATTAGAATTTTCTTCATATCGGCCTTTTTTAACGTATATCAATGATGACAAAAATACCATATCTCCATCGGCTGGAAATACACTTTATACACATTATTATAAGCACTATATGGAATGGACATAAAATCTTATTGGATTTTTAAATACGATCACTTTGTGTGATAAATATGAAGAATTGACTTTTTATTCCTATATTGTATCAAATAATAAAATTATCTAGGTAGTAGGAATCGATGCAGACGAAATTATTAATTGATTTTGCAATTTTATAACGAGTGCATAATTTGGATTGGCTATACAAAGTAATGGTACCATGTTAGTTGAGGTTTTTTGATAAATTTACATTGTATTTTTTATATTGATCTTATAAATCTTCAGTATCTGATTAATTTATTTAACTTTCCTTGAATGTGATTGTAATGAGAATATGTTTTAGTTAAATGTATATATTATAATATAGAATTTAATTTTAATTTGCCGATTTTTTGTTACCTTGAAGAATAATGCATAAATTCGATAAGTTATTGGAATTTCTTATCTATAGAAGTTTATCATTGTGTAAATTTTATTGTTTTGTTCAGTATTTCATAAGCGAATAGTATATTAATATAAATATTAAACCTATAGACATTATTTAATTAAAATCCTTAAAACGATGACGTGTGTTGTTATTGCAAGCTCTTCTTTGCTCCCTGATAATATCCAAGTAGGCGTAATGAAGACATACCTAACACTCTTTTTATCGAAACCCTTGGGAATAATATTCCCCAAAAACGTGAATAAACTTAATCAAAATAAAATTAGCATATTGTTTACACAATTAAAAATCATAACCATTAAAACATCTGTAAAACGTATAATACTTGGATATTTGAAATATAATATGTTTGTTACAATTTTTTTTACTAAAATTACAGCCATGATAATATAGAAACAAATAACAAAATGGACCTTTTTTCCATTTAGTTCCCGTGGTCCACCTCGTAGTCCACCCAGGTGGACCACGGGGATTATTTTTTCCCGTGGTCTACCTGCATAGCCATATGTTTCTAACAGTAAATTATGGGTGTTCATATGAACAAAAAGCATTTACAATATTTAAAAATCGCGTACCTAATTTTTAAAATCATTTAATTAACGTAGTTTTTCTAAAGCGATGCCTACAGAAATATCGTTGTTAATTAACTGCATCTGAATATCTTTTATATAATCATCGTTTTCTACATCTAATTTGCGCCTTTTTGATTTTGCAATTCTTATTGTGCTCAAGACACTCAAGAGCCGTAATAAATTGGTGCTGTTTTTATTTATTTTTTATTGATTTTGGCATGAAATGCCTCCAAAGCGTATAAAATAATAATAATAATATAAATTGACTTGCATAAAACTGAGGTTGTAAGCGAAGAGTCAGGTGGACCACGGGTAAAAATTATTTCCCGTGGTTCAAACAGGTGAACTACGAGAGGAAAAAATATTCAAGTGGTCCACCTGGTGAACCACGGGAAATAAACAAAGGCTTTTTTCATATAATGATGATTAAAGCCTTGAATTAAACTATAATATTATTGCTTTTTATAATTTGACACATTATACAATATACACATTATACAACAGAGGTATGCTCTGTGACGCAAAAGTTTTGTTTTACTATCCTGCTATCTTTATGACTTTGAAATATAATTTTAATGGTGTAATATTTCGTACACTTAACTATTAAATAAAAGCAAGTCATTCGGTCAAATTTACTATATTATTAATATAGAGCATTGATGACCTAGTAAATAACTATGTACTATAGCTAAAAGAAAAATAGAAACAAACCGTAAACTAATTTTGACCTTGTTATATTTTTTAAACATTTAACTGTTCTAACAGTTTAAATCTAAAGGAAATATTGTTTTTTTCTGGTACAAATTTCTTGTGGGGTTCACCAACTGATTGGATTTTATTTATTTGTGGTCACTCAACTCACATTTTTATACGTAGTCCTAAAATTACTATCTAAATATTACCATTCATTAAGATGATTTAAATTGGTAGGATACATCTCTCACTCATCCTGTTTCATTAAAAAAGTAAAAGTACTCAGTCTTAGTTATATAGTAGGTTCATGGGTGAATCTGAAGCTTCTTTTAAGTTTTTCAAAAATCGATTCAATTTTTTGATATCGTTAAAGATTCGAGACAGTTAAATTTATATCTATATAAAATAAAATAACTTTTCTCCATCGCACTGCTATAATCGGTAAATATTTTGATAACGCCATATTTACTTTTTTGGGGAATTTTGTAATAAGACACTAACATCACTTTGAAAATGTCAAGATGAAGTAAATTTTTAACTAATATGAAGATACAGTTTTATTTTTTTAAGGTGAATAATGAGTTACTTACTGATGTAAGTGACTTTGTTGGTTGTTTTATTGCGTCTTTTATAATTTCAGCAAACTTTTGTCGCGCATCTCGGCATTGATTTAATACGAAACTTTAATTGACGTGCGTATCACTCAGCGTTACATTGAACACTAAGTGATGGGGAACGACTTAGAGTCCAGCCTTTGGCTTTTTTTTTTCCACGTCATCTACGCTGTCACGCTCTATCTAGAGAGTAAATAATCAAGTTTTTAGTATACAAAAGTGACAGCATCAGTTTTAGTTCTGGTTTAACTTTAGCCTATGTTTTGTAATTAGGCGGTTACAGTTTCAACAAGAAATCGACCTTAATCCCTAGTAATAGAATATTATTGTTATGATTTCCGAATACAGTTAAACTCTATCGACTTTAATAACTACGGCAGGATCTAGGAATTCTGACGACGCAGCCTGAGAAGTATGCGAAATGTCAAAAAAAAAAGAAAAAAAAAGACGCGCTTTGAACCCGTATCAACGTGTTTTATTTAAGGAACTAGGAGCACTATACAAAATGCTGTTGTGTTACTGAAATATTTTCTTATAAATGGTGGTATTTAAGAACTAAAATTTTGACGATGCTTTATTTTAGAAAAGCTTTATAATTTGTTTTAATATATTGTTTTAAACTTTCATGGTCACTAACATTATAGTAATATAAGTTATTTAAGTAACTGAGTTACTCCGTGATCATGGCGCTTGCAACAGTGTCGAAATATCGGAAACTCGCTAAAAACAAGGTACATGGTAACAATCCCGTAAATAACTTATATTACTATAATTTGTTTTAAGCTGCTAATAATGATATAAGTAGGTATACCATCAACAACAAAAATGTGAAATGAGAGCCAAGTTCAATATTATCAATCATATATGCATTGGTTGTTAACTTCAACGACAAAATAAGTTAAATAAATCTAAATGAGTGTCAAGTTTAAAGGTCCTAAAATTTATGTATAACGATATAAAATATTACATGATTTTATAACAACTTCAAATATAATTTCTTTTTATAACTTAGGATAATTTATTGAAGCCTAAGGTCTGACTTGGCAAGTTCTTATATGTTGCAAGATATACATAAAACAAAGACGATTTCTAAAACACGTCAGAATAACCAAAAAGTTATTGATGATTTTATAACTAATTAACAAAGGCAGTTAGTAAACTGAAAAATATCAGTAGGCCATGCCTTGAACAAATTCCGTACCTGATTGATGGCGAACTGCGTAGTTCACTTCAAGATAACTAGGTGTACCAGGGGCTTTTCTTTTAAACTATATTTAATTCCGGTCGTAAGTTAGTTAGGCAGGTATGGGACACTACGGAGGTTTGTTCGGCACACAGAACAGTTTTCTGTTCTGTGGTTCGGCATCGGCGCTAGTTACGGTTTGAGGGCGGTACAGACCTTCATACCGTTCTCGCGAACAACCTTAATCGGCACCGGTTCGAGTCGAAATCGTCTTGTTAACAACCGCCCTAATAGAAGTACATAGGTAAGGGATGTATTTTTATTTGTAATAAATTACTTTTCCGCAACCCTATTTTCTCAATAGTTATAGTTTAGCAGGGGTATGGCCAGTGGTATGGTGGCTCCGCAATGTCGCAGATAAAAGCGCGCTCTGCGGGCGTAAATCGCGTCATGAAATTTGAAAGTGTTTTCCACCCACAATTTCACATTCTACGTGAGTGAAAACCCACAATTTCACATTCTACGTGAGTACGATCTCACAACCGTGTCGGGTGCTGGCAAAAACCGCTGCGTGAGTTCCTTTACCTTAATTGTTCTGCCACTGGTTCCTCTTGTACTTTACAATAAAACAAAAAGCAGTCTAATAAATGAGCAGTAAGTTAATGCTTTTAAAGTTTTTTTTATACAAAATCCCGTGTGTTACGAAGGTAATTCTTATAATGGGTATGAAGAACATTTCTATTAGAATAGTAGTTTGGGGAGGGTCAGTTTGAAGTTTCATAGAGATTTTGTTGCAGTACCTAAATTATGGACGGGTGGGTTGGTGTTCATTATTTTCCCAATTATTTTAATGAACGGTGCCGGGCGGGTACCTACCCCGCAATGCAGGGTGGACGGTTTTTAAGAACTTATTGTATTACTTTTCCTTACAAATCAACACATTAACGTTTCAGAAATACAGAGTTCAGTAGTAAAAAGCAGTAGGAGGTAGGTATACTCAATGTAGGTACCATACATCATGTACCATCAGGTACATGATGTATCATGATAATCATCGTTGTCCAAATATTATGGGATGTAAATTATATGGTACTTAATATTTTTTATGCCATTGGATTGAGAGGGCCTACTAAAACTCTCTAAACCAGCTATACTCTAAGTGTGTTCCGCGGAACCCTAGGGTTCCGTGATACCTCTGTCGGGGTTCCGCAAGAATTTAGAAATAAAAAAATCAAAACACCTCTCTCTGGTCGCTCCGCGGCTGTGCGGACTCCGCGGCCGCGCGGAGACAAAACGCTATGAATGTTATTTATTTATTTATTTGTATTTGTATAAGCTTGTGTTACATTAGCTGGTACAATATCTCATAAGTTTGGTCTCAACAATTTTATACTTGTACAACGCGTTCGCTCTAAGTTTGCCGGTCTGTGGAATGCGCGTACCCTCCCCCACGTGACAACAAAACTTATAATGTGTCATAGTTTTACCCAAATATCTAACGTACACAATTTTTATTGTTACAATTAAATAAAAAATTTCGAACGTCATACACTCATACCTATCGCCAGCGGCAAACTTAAAACGAGCGGGTAGTATACTTGTAAGCGCTCAGTCTCTTTGATAAAAGCCGCCTCTGAATTAGACGCTATAGTTGTCAACTAGCGACTTTCGTCTCTAACTTCAAAGGATAAAGTCGATATTGTTTACAACGCTATTTTTAAATTTCTGTTTTTATTTTTGCTTTTTGTTTATCAAAGGTGCCGACTCGAGTATTTTCGAGAATATTTGAGATCGAGTCTAGGACTAAGTATAAAAGCGGCGATCGCGCGTTGGCGTCGTCAGTTGATGATTAGCGTTCGGAGCGATAAGTTACTACCTACTTACAAGCTCGCTAGCGAGAAACTGGTGTTCATTGTTTTACTGCCTGCTGTATTCTGTTGTCTCAGTTTTATACATTTCTTCCCTGTAGGTTCTAAATTTAGTCTCTTATACGCAGTAACGATTGTGCATTATTTAAACCCCACTATCCTGACTTGTAACATTATAAATAAAGAAGA